TCCGTCAAATAGGTCTGGATCGGCGCCGATACCGATCCGAATATCGGTATCGGTGCATCTCTACAAATAACCTGAAAGTGATGCATATTGAAATAACAAACACTTTATTTTATACTAATCAAGCAGGATAGTTAATGATATTTTTTCCATTATATGAATTAAAAGCGGCAGTTCACAGACCGCCAAGATAATACCTTACATTTACATTTATTCCATCTTGTCCAAAGCAACATACAAGTGAGATAAACAGCACATTGATCATGGCTGAAATACACACTGTAATGTGAGAGAGCTGCATGCCGTTTAAATACAGCTCACATCACTGTAAGATGCTCCTCTCTGGTGATTATCCCTCCCCATCACTGCAGTATCTGTGTGTCCCTCACAGCTCTCATCCTCAGCAGCAGCTCTCCACATGTAGAGGAGCATCTCGGTGTTACTGCCCCCTACTGGACAAGGAACAGATAAGCATTAACATTGGCTACTTAATTCGTCAGTTCAGGCTGAGGCACTAACACCTTCCTGATCAATAGCAGCACCAATAAGCCCAGTCCTACATACAGAGCCAGCTGGACCAAGGAGCTGAATAAGAGGTGAATGGATTTGAACAGTAAAGTCTTACATGCTTTATAGTAACATGGTTCAGCCACATCTGTACTATTACACAGGATACATGTGAGGAACAGGAGACATTAACAAAGAATATAAAAATAGCTGGAGAATTTTAACTGCCAGTTCTGCATGCTATATTTTTTTGTAAAATCCATCCATCCATCCCTTCATCCATCCACCCATCTTCCAAATATTTATTGAGATGATCTGAAGGGGGGCTGCAGCCTTTCCCCAGCAGCATAGGGCACAAAGCAGGGGTTCACCCTGGATGTGATGCCATCACAGGGATATTATAATTAAGGAAACAAAAGAAAAACAAGGTTCCCATAAAATAACAGAAGTTTCCCATCACTGTGTGATCAGGTAGATGCTCATAGCTGGACACCACACTGCTGTAAGTGCTGCTGAATGCTTACCTCTGTTTTTCATTAATCCCTCCTTCTTCATCATTTGCCAAAAAGGGACAGCATTGGAAACAAGAGAAAGGATTGTTAAATAAAAAATAAACAACCCTGTTCCTGGGGCCACTAGAGATTTTGGGCCCCATGAAAGCATATCAGACTGGGCCCCAAGCCCAGACCAATCCNTAAAGCTTTACGCAGTCTTATATACTTGCATTATTCTGGGTTACTTCCTTGTTACATTGTAGCACACAAGCAAAAGAATAAAAGTCAAGCTGGTATATTTCCATTACGCAGTCTCTCATATCTACTGGGTTCTCAGAATCTTTGTTGTTCACAGGTGCAGACAACAATCAACAATGAATGGCTCAAGATTGCAACAGCTTTGGATCCTCGTTTCAAGGACTTGAAGTGCCTCCCCAAGAGTGACAGAAAGAAGGTGTGGACCACACTTGGAAGACTGCTGCATGATCAATCCCCACCTCGACAGACTTGTGAAGATGAGCCGCCCAAGAAAATGAGTCTTTTACAGATGGGCTCAGATTCAGAATCAGATGAGGAGTTGCTGCCTGACAGAATCATGCACTTGTACAGAGCAGTATGCAGGACTGTCCCTTGGAGTGGTGGTCAGCTCATTTGCTTAATACATCAGATGATGCCACACATACAGTTACTCTTTAGAATGCCTGTGGCCTTGGCATGGAGCCGATGTCGTCAGACGGTGCCCAACCTTCTCAGGGTGTTTCGCCCCTTATCCACTACACCCTCCAGTTGGCGGGTCGACAGTGGTGGCCAGGTCACTGCCCATCAGCTCCAGGCCTCCAGCCCCCCTCCTCCCTTTTAAACCACAACCAACAAGAGGCTCTTTCTGCTGCCTCTCCAATCCTGCGCACAGCTGTCTTGCGGTCCTTGCCTGATACGCCGAGTGTAGTGATCACCGACCATACAGACTGTGCCGGAAACCCCCTACACCCCACCTCCACTGGAAACAGCCACATTTGCCATCCTATTTCAGATACTTCCTCTCATGGGCCTCATCACAGCCTTCTTCCCATGGGACAGTCAGTTCTACCATGATGATCTTCTTTGCCTGCTCTGACCAGATGACTATGTCAGGTCTCAAGGTGGTCTGGACGATGGGGGGGGGAAATGAGCTTCCTACCCAGGTCAGCTATCATCTCCCATCCTTGTGCCCCCTGGAGGATGTTGGTCCTGGTTCTCCTTGCAGAAGATGGCTGCTGCCCTGCCCTGATGAACTGCAATGCTGGTGTTTGTGGCTTGAGTGGTTGCAGTCCTGGCCTGCTCCAGGAAGTCTGCAATTACACTGAGCACCTGATCATGCCGTCACCTGTATCTCCCCTGGGCCAGAGCTGTTTGACACCCTGCTAGAATGTGGGAGAGTGTGCCATTCTTCCCACACAATTTGCAGAGTGGATCCTCCCTCAGGCCCCACCTTACCAGGTTTGCAGGTGACGGGAGTGTGTCATACAGACCTCAAGTGGAAACTCACACGGAACGGCTCCAGCCTCCAGATTTCAGTCCATGTGACCCTCCTTTCTGGGAGGTCCCATCTGGTCCAAGTTCCTTGGGTTGCTAGTTCAACAGCCTTCGCCTTCCGTGTCTCTTCCACTTGGTGACGCACTTCGGCTTGCACCATCTCTCTCCTCTGCTGCACAGTTGCCTTCCCCCACTGGATGAAACGGGAGGTTCCTAGTCCCTGCCGGCCAGTGCAGACATTGCCAATGATATCCCTCAACTCCATGGAGCTTTCATCTTGCCTAACTGCGGTGTCTGCTACCCACTTGCGGCCTGTTCTTGTTATGACCCCCGCATTGCTGACACGCTCGTCTTTAGAGTCTCTGAGTACCATTGCCACCCTGCACTTGGCCACCTTGAACTCCTCCACCACAAATGAGAATGGAAGCTGAAGCTGGCCAGACTGAATATAGAGCCCCACTGCTGTGAAGCTGGGAGGGATACCAAGCCACCGCCTCAGATGTGTGTTTATTCTCTTCTCCAACTTCTCCACTGCAGTCATTGGAATCTCATATACTGTCAACGGCCACATCAGCCTTGGTAGAAGCCCATGCTGGTAAATCCAGGATTTGAACTTGCCAGGTAGTCCCGACTCGTCAATCTTCCTCAGCCACTCATCTGCCTGTTTTCCAGTGTCAGAGATGTTGTTCCTGTCGCTGAGAGTGTCATCGTACCACTTTCCCAGGCATTTGATGGGATTCTCCCTGATTGTTGGAATCTGTTCACCTTGGACGTGGAGTTTGAACGCATTCGTCAGCTTCCCCCGCCTTATCACCAAACTCCGTGACTTCCGTGACACTGTTCCGTGTGAGGGACTTTTCTCAGTTGCAGGCAACATTGTAAATAAGAATCGGTCAGCTCTCCTCTCGGACAATGTCAACAAGTAAGTTTGTCTTAGTAACTGGTTGAAAGAGGAGTAACAGGGCCACATTAATGTGGATAAATGTTTAGAGAGAGTTTTTGTTAAATGTTCAAGATGCTCAATAAACATGTTAAGTGCATATACACTCACCTAAAGGACTATTAGGAACACCATACTAATACGGTGTTTGACCCCCTTTCGCCTTCAGAACTGCCTTAATTCTACGTGGCATTGATTCAACAAGGTGCTGAANCCAAAATATTCAACTAAAAAGCTGGTTAGATGTAGAATAATAAATTAGAGTTGTGACCAAAGTGTCCACATCCCAGGGCACTGATAGTGGGCAGGTGAGATAAATAATGTTATTAATATATCATAATGTATTTAAGGCAGAACTGGATCAGTTATTACAGAGTGCAACTGCAACACTGGCCTTTGCTGCAGTTAGAAACTACCTGCAGACAATCACCCAGCCTGTACACCTTTAGTAACAATTAATCCCTATAAATGTCTGAAATCTGAAGGGGAAAAGCAGTTTTAATGTATGATGTTTTCCAAACTGGATAATTGACTGTAAGATGAATATGTCTGTCTGTCTGTTTCCAGTAATGTGATGTATTATGAAAGACATCTGACTGGATGTCTGATTAAGAAAATAGTCAGATCTGTAATATTAATCATATCATACAAATGTATCATAAATTAGAAATAGATGTAACATGCAGATAACACACTCATGAAATTGATAAAGAGCAGGACCTGTAATTGATGAGGTTATCAGAATATATTATGGGATGTCTCCATTAGAGGTAATGCTGATATGTAAGTTAATCTTCCTGTACATTCATGCAGACACTTGAAATTGGTCATCAAACATCAGTAACTGACAGCAAATTAAGTTTTTAAATACTGAGATTTAAAACATTTTCTCCTGTGTTTGTGTTAATGTCCTTCCTTTCTACCTGAATGACATGTTACATACTGTGCATCTCATTGGCTACAGTCTGCAGTACAGACATCTTACCCTCAGTGACTGACAGGGAGACCGGTGTTCCCACAGCTGAACCTCTGCTGATCTCCACACCACACCAGTAGTAGCCAGAGTCCCCAGCTGTCAGATTGTTCATGGTCACATTGAAGACTCGCTTAACAGGATAATTTCTGATTGACACTTCACCACTTTTCTTTGGAGAATTAGTGCGTATTATGGGAGTACATGAACTCCAGTCACTCCCTCTGCACCAGTATTTCACATGTTGTTGATACATGTTGTCATAGGAACACGGGATGGTGACAGATCCTCCTCTCTGTACAGTCACCCTGTTCACTGTGGACACACCTGCAGGGACTGTATGAAAATTACCCAGCTGATTAACTCTCACTCTCTCTTACACCATTTATACACATATTAATAAAGAGTAAGTACCAGTCCTTTGTTGGTTATATTACTGCACTCGGCAGATTATTAAGATTTTTTCTTTCCTAGCACTGTATTTGCAAAAGTGCAATAAATGATTAACTGATGATTTAGTATAAGATTACTTCACAAAAACCTCCTTAGCTGGATAGAATGGTTATTAAAATGTACATATATAGGGCAAACACCAGTAACTGTGAGACAACTGATACGCTATTATTGTATGTTTATTTATATATTCTTACTTTTCTGTGAAATTTATGAATTGATTTAAAATTCATAAAATGAATCACGTTTCCTAGCATATAACTGATCTTATTTTACCTCCTGAAGTAACTCATTTAAACTGACAATGTTACTACTCAGGAGTCACATTTACTGTATTGATGAAAACTAATATTCTGTCCCACTTATATACCGAAATATTTTTCCTTTGTTTGTGTTAATGTCCTTCCTTTCTACCTAAATCACATGTTACATACTGTGCATCTCATTAGCTACAGTCTGCAGTACAGACATCTTACCCTCAGTGACTGACAGGGAAACCGGTGTTCCCACAGCTGAACCTCTGCTGATCTCCACACCACACCAGTAGGAACCAGAGTCCCCAGCTGTCAGGTTGTTCATGGTTACATTGAAGACTGGCTTAACAGGATCATTTCTGATTGACACTTCACCATTTTTCTTTGGAGAATTAGTGCGTACAATGGTTGTACATGAACTCCAGTCACTCCCTCTGCACCAGTATTTTACATGTGATTTATATCTGTTATCATAGAAACATGGGATGGTGACAGATCCTCCTCTCTGTACAGTCACTGTGTTCACTGTGGACACACCTGCAGGGACAGAATGAAAATTACCAAGATGATTAAATCTTACCCCCTCTTACACCATTTATACGCATAGTAATGAAGAGTCAGTACCAGTCCATTGTTGGCTACATTGCCGCACTCGGCTGATTATCAAGATTTCTTGATTTTTTTTTACTATGACTTTATTTACCAAAATGCAATAAATGATTAATTGATCATTTAGTATAAGATTAGCTCACAATCTCCTTAGCTGGATTAAATGGTTATTCAGTAATTGAGAGACAAACTGATGCTCTATTATGGTTTGTTTATTTATAAATTCATGCATTCAATGAAATTTACGAATTGATTTAAAATTCATAAAATGAATCACATTTCTTAGCATATAACAGATAATATTTTACTCCCTGAAGCAACTCATTTAAACTGACATTGTTACTACTCAGAGGTCTCATTTATGCTATTGATGAAAACTAAAATTCCATCTCTCTTATTTACTAAAATATTTTCTCCTGTGTTTGTGTTAATGTCTTTCCTTTCTGACTGAATGACATGTTACATACTGTGCATCTCATTGGCTACAGTCTGCAGTACAGACATCTTACCCCCAGTGACTGACAGGGAAACCCGTCTTCCCACAGCTGAACCTCTGCTGATGTCCACACCACACCAGTAGTAACCAGAGTCACCAGTTGTCAGATTGTTCATGGTCACATTGAAGACTCGCTTAACAGGATCATTTCTGATTGACACTTCACCACTTTTCTTTGGATAATTAGTGCGTACTATGGGAGTACATGAACTCCAGTCACTCCCTTTGCACCAGTATTTCTTATGTTGTCGATATATGTTGTCATAGAAACATGGGATTGTGAGAGATCCTCCTCTCTGTACAGTCACTGTGTTCAGTGTGGACACACCTGCAGGGACAGCATGAAAATCACCAAGCTGATTAACTCACTCCCTTTTATACCATTTTTACACAAATTAATAAAGTCAGTACCAGGCCTCTGTTGGTTACATTACTTCACTATGTAGAGTATTATTTTTTCTTTTACTATCACTGTATTTGCAAAAATAAGTGTAATGAATGATTAACTGATCACTTAGTAAAAGATTAGCCAGCAAAAACCTGCTTTGCTCGCTTGTACTAATTTAAATGTACATATACTGTATACGCCACACATCAGTAAGAGAGCCAAACTGATGATCTTTTACGATTTTTATTTCTGTATTTTTTAGGGCTGTCAATAGATTAAAATATTTAATCGTGATTAATTGCACAACTCTCTATAGTTATTCACAAATTAAATCATGAATTTATTCAACATTGAACATTTACCATTAAGGGATTTTTTCAGGTGTCAATATTGTTATCAATATTAGAGTTGGCAAGGCATGATTGCTTTTTGCCAATGTATGCATTTATTATTGGAAATCAATTACTAACAATACACAACAACAAAGATTGTCCAAAGATCATCAGAAACCCTTCTTCACTTAAGAAAAACTCAAGCGCAACAATAGAAAACTAAAATTTGGTCCCTCTTACATAACAAAATATTTTCTAATGTGTTTGTGTTAATGTCCTTCTTTTCTGACTGAATGACATGTTACATACTGTGCATCTCATTGGTTACAGTCTGCAGTACAGACATCTTACCCTCAGTAACTGACAGGGAAACTTGTGTTCCCACAGCTGAACCTCTGCTGATCTCCACACCACACCAGTAGGAACCAGAGTCCCCAGATGTCAGATTGTTCATGATCACAGTGAAGAGTCGCTGGCCAGGATCATCTCTGATTGACACTTCACCATTTTTCTTTGGAGAATTAGTGCGTACTATAGGAGTACATGAACTCCAGTCACTCCCTTTGCACCAGTATTTCACACGTTGTCGATATATGTTGTCATAGAAACATGGGATGATGACAAATCCTCCTCTCTCTACAGTCACCGTGTTCAGTGTGGACACACCTGCAGGGACAGTTTGAAAATCAGCAAGCTGATTACTGTAACTCTCACTCCCTTTTATACCATTTCTACACAAATTAATACAGTCAGTACTGGGCCTCTGCAGGTTACACAGGGTTTCCGCGGGTCTTAAAAAAGTCTTAAATTTACTCTTAGAAAACCTGCAGAAACCCTGTTACAGTACTTCACTATGTTTATTATTACGTTTTTTTTTGCTATCACTGTATTTGCAAAAATAATAGTGTAATGAATGATTAATTGATCACTTATTAAAAGATTAGCCAGCAAAAACCTCCTTTGCTCGCTTCTACTAATTTAAATTTACATATATAGGCCAAACATCAGTAACACAGCCAAATTAATGGTCTTTTATGATGTTTATTTATATATTTGTGCTTTTCTGCAAAATTTATGAATTTATTTAAAATTCTCAAACTGAACCACATTTCTTAACATATTACTGATCATATTTTACCAACTGAGGCAACTCAATTCATTTCACATTTTTACCACTCACAGGTGTCATTTAAGATATTGATAAAAACTAAAATCCGATGCCTCTTATAAATGAAAACAGCCCTAATGTGTGTATATATATATATATATATATATATATACAATGTATGTGTCACGTCCCGCTCCGTCCGCTCCTAATGTGTGCCACGCCCACCTCATTACCTCGTGTTCAATCCTGATTCCGATCGCCTGTGTCCTATTGAGTCTGGTCTGTCTTTCCTATTGAGTCCTCGTCTGAGTCCGTCTCCGGTAGATCCGTCATTAATGTTGCCTGTTGTGATTCCCCGGTCCCGTCTTTCCCGAATAAATCCCCGTTGCAACCCGACTTCCTGGCTCCGTTCCCCTGCTTCCCTGCTCGCCTCTCCGCAACCGTGACAG